GTCTCTTTTTTAAAAGATTTGGAGAAATGTAGAAACTGGGAGATATTTAGAATAGTCTGGGTAGGAAGGGTCAAAGGTGTGACTTAGCCAAAAGATTATTAATAATTTCTCCCTATTCTTCAGATTGATAGTATTGTCCTGATGAAGGACTCAGATACAGGCCGCTCTAAAGGTTATGGTTTCATTACGGTAAGTCTCTAGTCTTTATTTATTTTAATTTGGGTTTGTCTACGTGTCTGATTTTGCAGTTTAGCTTCATCCTCCTCCTTTAGGAACTGTCTAAATCAGCAGTCGCCAACCGTTGGTCCACAGACCACTGGTGGTCTGTGAGGTCCAAAAGGTTGGTGACCACTGGTTTAAGGAAACCTTTGGAACGCAGTTGCTAACCGGTGGTCTGCAGACCACTGGTGGTCCGTGAGATCAGAAAAGTTGTTGACTGCTGGTCTAAATGACCCATAAACCCTGGTGCTGAACCTTGGACTACTAGCCTTCTGCCCCTTGAGATGAGTGCCTTGTTTGAGATCTTGGCTTTGTTCCTATACTCTGTCAGTGTATGGGGGTGTCCAGGAGTTCTACCACCTTCCCTGGGGCTGCAACGTGCTCTTTGGGTAATAGTTATGGTTCCAGACTACAACTAAAAGATTGGGGGTATGAGGGAGGTTAGGTATGAGCTTTTATAGACATGCTTTATAGAATTGACATGTTTTCACGATGGGGTGGGAATCGGAGGTTATATACTTCCCTCTTGTGCTACCCTGTTTGAAGTAGGTTTTTCCATTGAGAAGTATCTTTATATTTAAATCCCACTATAGGGAGAATAGTGAGGCCACCTAATAGTGGTCAAGTCTCATCTTTTCCTGACACTCCAACAAAATTGTTTCCAATTCCCATAACTGGTTCTTCTAGCCCCATGTGACTCCAGGCTGAGGACTGGCTGCCAGCCACAAAGTCTGATAGAAGCTGATATTTTCTGGGCTCAATCCAGGCAACATACACCCCAAAGTTACCTGCAGGGCAGAGGGGAGGTAGGTTGTGTTCTATCATGGCAATTGCTTACCTCAAAAGTATCCAGTAAAGGCAGGCCACCTATACCACATGCCTAGGAACTATCAGTACCACACGCCAGGCCCTAGGGCAGGTAATACCAGAGTAAACAAAGCCAGCTGTGGCATTCCTGGTAGCAAGTATCTTTTCTAGCTCCCTGTGTGACTCAGATTTGGAAAGGCTTCTATGGGGCCTTTTTGCCCTTTTGTTGCTGCATTTAGGTCAACACCCTTGACTCTTTAAACAGAAGACTGGGAATCCTCTTTATGCCAGGCTGCTGCTGATGAAAGGGATGAGAGAGTTGAGATCCTGTGGTCAGTGGGTTACTGAGTCAGCAGTCCTCTGGTGGAGGTTGGGTGCAGTTTTCCTTTCAGTTCCAGGATGTATTACTTCCTAAGGCTGGGCTCTGGAGGCCCAGATTCCTTCTCTTAACTGAGAATTTAAACTTACTAGTCGTAAAGGCTCAAATAAAGCCTCGGGAGTCTTAGCTCTCAGTCTGTCTTACTTCCGTTTTATATCCCCATTTGTGAGACAGCCTGTCTGGCTAGGCTCCCTACAGATAATAGACTTTTTTTTTTTTTTAATATATTTTATTGATTTTTTGCAGAGAGGAAGGGAGAGGGATAGAGAGTTAGAAACATCGATGAGAGAGAAACATCGACAGGCTAGGCTCCCTACAGATAATAGACTTTTTACATTATTAGATTTTTAGTGGAGCTCAGAGATTGAAATCAGTTGGAAAAGTCCCTTTCAGAGATCAATTTTAGGGGGATCTGAGGTCACATTCCCTGAGAAAGAAAAGTTTGTGCCACAGCAACCATGCAAGTTTCCTGGGATAGTAGGACTAGGAGTGTTAGTGGGGCTTTGAGGGCGTATCTCTGGCGGAGAGGTGACTGATAACGGCCTGGGTTTCTTGTAGTTCTCTGACTCTGAGTGTGCCCGACGGGCCCTGGAACAGTTGAATGGCCTTGAGCTTGCTGGTCGACCTATGAGAGTTGGCCATGTGACTGAGCGACTGGATGGTGGCACAGACATCACTTTTCCTGATGGAGACCAGGAGCTGAATCTGGGATCAGCAGGTGGACGTTTGCAGCTCATGGCCAAATTGGCAGAAGGTAGTTACTCTTCAGAGTGAAAAACATGGGGTTGAATTGTAGATTGAGGGTTGGGACTTAACCCCACTTTTTCTTTACCTTTTAGGCTCTGGAATCCAGCTGCCAACCACAGCCGCTGCTGCTTTGCAGCTGAATGGAGCAGTTCACTTGGGGGCCCTAAACCCAGCAGCTCTGACTGGTAGACGTGGACTTGGGAAAGGGATAGATGGGCTGGGCCTGGGAAGAAGGAATGCTCTGTGCTCACTGACTCACTTTGCCTCTCTCTCTCTGTTCTAGCTCTGAGTCCAGCCCTGAACCTTGCCTCTCAGGCAATTGCCTCCCAGTGCTTCCAGCTTTCCAGCCTTTTTACCCCCCAGACCATGTGAGTCGCAGGACCTCTTTCATTTTAGACTCTGGTTATTTTCTTTCGTTTGACTTCCATTTACCTCTTCGCTTTGCCCCAAGTAAATCAGTGGCACAGTATATGGCCTCCCTATGCCTCTGGGTCCTGCCACTCCCTTCATATCTACCATTCTACGGCCCCTTCTATCCATTCTGTGGATCAAGCCATCCTGAAGCCATGGGCATTAACTCTGGGGGAATTGGGGTCACCCTTAGACACCAAGAAGAGCTCCTGCCCATGGACCCACTGGGAATGGACTCTGCTGAGCAACCACTAGTTGAAGAGAAGAGAATTATTGAACACCTGTTTCTCCATGTATACCATCTCCTGGGATGATCTTCATTGCCCTTTCCAACCACCTCTTAGTGATTCCTCGATTCCTCCTCTGTTGAGAAGGCTTTAGGGCATTAACTGAAGGAACTGATTTCTTTTTGTCCCCTATACCTTTACCCTACGATTTTGTCAAGGAAAAACCCTTAAGCCCTCTGGTCCAAGAGGATTTTTCAGTTTGGGGGCTGAACCTTTAAGGTGCTGGCTTGATGCTACAAGGGCCCTGGAAGATAGCTTGGACATGTATGTGCGTTGTAAAGCCTGCCTTAGACCGCAGTTTGGGGCCAGAACTACTGTGGGCTCTGCAGTTTGCTGGGAGCTATAGAAATTATCTATCCTGCCAGGTATTTTGGATGTCTTAGGGGCATTCAGGAGTTTAGTGAAAGATGGGGTACCTTTCCAGTATCTTCCATCTTCTTTTGTATAGTTAGTTGTCCTTCCTCCCAGGTCCTTCCTTTGGTCCAGGAAGGGAGGATGTGGAGAGGCTGCTACTCTCCCCTACTTCCGACGTGCCTCTACTGGGCTCCACCCCAGCGCTAAAGCCACTCCTGTCCCCTACTTGGGCACATATGAGCCCTTCTCACTGGACTTTATATCCTTGAGTCTGTGTACATAAATAATATATATATATATAAACTTTGTACAAAAGGCAAGCCTTGCTGTTGTGGCTGCTGCCCATGTGTGTAGTCTCAGTCAGTTGTGCCTGATGTTAACTTCTAATGAGCCAAAACCACGAGTGGTTGTAGGAATATAAAACAATGCCATTGTGTTTTCTTTATTTTAATGGTATCTAACCTTTAGAAATAAAACAGGACAAAAGGTGCATACCTGTATACAGATACACTGTCTGTATCTGCATTATACTTTCTGCCCCTCGGTCTCCTATCTGTCTTCATGTTAACTATCTCCAAACCTACCTGCCCACTGGACAGACTACCAGGCTCTGTCTCTGTGCCCAAGGACAGATCTTGTCTTTCCACCAGATGGCAGTGTGACATTCTGCACCTTTCTATAGGGTTGTATGATCTGGAGCAGCGGTAGCCAACCTTTTGGGCGCCAACCTTTCGGACCTCACAGACCACCAGTGGTCCACGGACTACTGGTTGGCGACCGCTGATCTGGAGGACTTAAATATCAGAGAAGTCTTCCAAGCTCAACATTCTTACCATTGGCCTCCATACTGCCTTTAGCCCTTTTTGTAGTAGGAATCCCAGTCCAATATCCAAAGGGATTTGGGCATCATACATCAGCACTCTTCAGGCCATAAGCCTTCTATTCTCCCAGTCACCTCAACTCTTGCTTTCCAAATATATAGCTCTGCCTGGGACAACACAGGCCTGGGACCAATGACTTCCAGGGAGCTGAGTATTCCAGGAATGGCCCTGCCAAAAGGGTGGTACCCCTTCCTCTGCCCCCTTTATAAGGCTTGTAACAGACAACTGAGTCAGAGCCTGGCTTACCAGCTAGAAATCAGCCAAGAGGAGGAGGTCTGAGGTTCAGGGGCAGGGCTGGTGGGGCTCCTTCATTCTTTACTGGTCTCTATGGCAACAGAGTGTTAAGACTTTATTATCTTGCTAAAAATATGGATAATTGCTGTTAAGTTTTAATTTGTCAGCTCTCAGACTTCTAAAGCAGAGTGATGGTTTTCTGGTGATGTTTACTTCTGGGGTTGCTTTTAACACAAGTATTAAGTACTTGAAGCCTGTTTGTGGTATAAAAGACCACTGGGACCCAGGACTAGCTCTTGGTTCTAGGCTGCTGCAGTCTTGCTGCTTCTGTTTTGCTGCCACCCCCACCCCTTCCCTAGTTTGCTCTCTGAACCTGGGGGGAGGGAAGGAGGATGCATTATTTTTAGGTAGGAGCAGCTGGCTATGGCCCAGTCCCCCTATAGTTATTGATTTGCTGCTAATGCATCCTGAGAAGCACAGCGCGGACCATTTTTGTTAGTCATCCTGAAGCTATGGACCAGGCCTCCTCATGGCAGTCTCTAACTCCTCCAGAACTATAAATACCCACAGGCCTCACCTCCCTGCCCTCCTCAGATGGACCCCCATCTGCTTGTTGTTGTTTTTTTTGCTGTTGGTTTTGTTGTTAATCCTCACCTGAGGATATTTTTCCATTGATTTTTTTTTAATTGTCTGAGTTTTATTGAAGACTGTCCAGTTGTGAGGCAGAAGGAAAACTGAACACAAGTTAGTTTTGTTGCCGCTGTTTTTAACGTCCTTTGATTGTCTTTGTAAAGGGCCTCTGGGATGCCGCTGTTCCAGAATCAGATCAATAAATCTTCACCTGGGCTCCTCTGTCTTTACTTGTGCTGCTCCCTCAGCCTGAAATGCCTGTCCTCTTCCTCCCCATCGGCCAGACATCCTGACTCAGCTTAGAATGTGACTCTTCCAAGAAGCCTCCAACTTCCTGCAAGTTCATCTCACCTCTGTCCTACTCACCCCTGTCTTTTCCTCCATTGATGTTTAGGGAGAATGGAAGGGAGGAGGAGGAGGAGAGGAGGGAGAGAGAGAGAAACATTGATTGGTTGCCTCCTGCTTGCACCTGACCAGGACTGAGGATCGAGCCTGCAACCGAGGTACGTGCTCCTGACCAGAATCAAATCTGGGACCCTTCAGTCTGCAGGCCGACACTGTATTCACTGAGCCAGTTGGCTAGTGTTTCTTTATATTCCTATTCCTAACAACTTTGGGCTTCCTGCACTTTGGCTCCTTTAGTTCAGTTCTTCCTGGGCTCCTGGTCTTGCCTCATACATCCTCTTGCTGGGAGAGAGACAATGGTAGAAGTGAAGAAACACTGCTTCTCTAGTCTTAACCTATGTAAGGTGACTAGTGGGTGACAGCCATGTCACTATGTATGACTCAGTGCCTAGTCATTCCTCTATTGGGAGTGGTTGGAGTGGAGAAAAGGGGGCAGTAAACAGCCTCTCTGGGCCCAGCTAAAGGTAAAAGAAACCTCCCTCAACCTCTCCTGCCTGAGCATGGTGGCAAGGGTGAGGGGAGAGGGACACTGACCAGGATTCTTTCCCAGCATAGTTGGAATTTCCCCCAACAGTTCTCAATTCATAATGTGATTTTCACCTGACTTTTGGCTTATCCGGCCTATGCTTTTGTCTTCTCTAAGGCAGTGGCATTTCCTCCCTCTTCTTTAAATTGCTGTGTTCTTGACATTGGGATTCAGGAAGTAATACTTGGACAGTTAGAAGAGTGTATCTTGGCTCTGAAAAGTGAGGTGGTAGGAGGTGATAAGATAACATTTATGCAGGATTTGTTTTGGGTTAGGCAATGTACCCCACTATGTATATTGAATCATTTCATCTTCTAGTGACCCTCTGAGGTAGGTTCTTTTATCTTTATGTTGTAAATAAGGAAACTGATACCTAAAGAGGTTAAATAATTTGCCCCACAATTACAAAGTTACCAAGTTTACGATTTCAATCCAGGCAGTCTAGCTTCAGATCCCTTGATCTTCATCTTAACCTGCTTCAGCACCACTGTGGAAGCCAAGGCCTTGGAGTCATGGGGAAGTCTCACCTTTTCTGTCTCTATACCTAGTTCCCAGTATATCCTGAAAATTTCCACTCCATGTCTGCTCATTTTCTTTCTTCCTGCCCTTCTGCTTGTCAAAATCTAGTCCTTTATGACTCTGAAACTTTCCTAGATGGAACTGAATTCCCTTTTTAGTATTCTTTGTCCCATTATAGGTCTTATTCTGCCTTAATTTACAGTTCTTTGTATACTCTATCAATAGGTGGTTATGGCCTAATGAGACCAGTCATAGACGTGTCCTTTTCATTAGTGCTTTGCCTGCACATATTACACATCTGTTGAATTAAGTCCCTCCCTGCTCATGTGGGAGCCAGGCTTTCTAAAGGCTGTCCCTTCTAGCCTGCCTTCCTGGCAGCTTCATCTATTCCTTCCTCACCCCTTCAAGTGAGGAGGCAACTTTACTCTTTTTAGTGTTACCATGGTAGCCTGTGATGCTTTCTGATTAAAATGCTCTTGCCATACACCAGAGACTGATATTTCCATGGCAACCAGGTGAAATCTATAGTTATGAGCTGGATGGAGGAAAGGAATTCTGAAGTCTGAGAAGCTGTGTGTCTGAATCTTCTAACTTCAAACATCATCCTCCCTCCCAACTTTTGCACTCTGTGTCCAGAACTGATTTGCTCTGCTCTTGGTTGAGAGAGCTTTGTGTGAGGTGAAGCAGATCAGCCAGCTTAGGTCATGTGGGAAGGTGGAGACAAGGAAAGAGCTGATCAAAGATCACTTTAAAAGTTGGATGAGTTCTGTTAGCTCCCCCAGATGATCTGCTTTCAAGAGACCTTATGGAGTTGACTGGAGTTACTGGAGAGTCATTAAGCAGTTATTTTTGAGGGCAATGGATAGATATGGATGAGGTGCCTGAAACTGGAAAGGAGCCAGTCAGTGCTGGATTGTAGAGGTGGAAACAATGATGTTGGAAATCAGAGACTTAGCAAACTCGTGCCAGTGTTCCAGAAAGGATGGGAGTTTCAATTAACTTTCAAGCATCATGATGCCTGTGTGTTTAGAATATGTGGTACTGAGAATTAGCCTCCTCCTCTCAATTCTTGGGCCAAACCAACCCAGGGGACCTCCAACCTGTAGCAAATTGGTCACACTCTGGAGCAACACTGCCTGATCTCTTGTGTCTCAAACCAGCTGAGTGAGCTTGGATGTTACTTTACTTCTCTAACTCCGACTCCATATAATTAGATTATGGCCAGATGGCTTTGAAAACTCATTTGCAATATATTAATAACAATAGTACCTATTTTAGGGTTGTGAGGATTAAATGAAATGATCCCTGTAGGGGGCTTAGAACTTGTTAGCTTGTCATTACTACTGCCATCATTTTCCCCATTCCTCTGTATGCCTACACACTTGACTTCCTACCTGACCTCACTCTCCTCCCCAACTTCAGAGAATGCTCAAGATTTATGGAGAGGAGAGGAGAGGAAGGGACCATGATGAAAATAAACCTTAATTGTTCCTGTGCTAAAAGTCCCAGGCTCACAAGGTCCTGGGTCACATGCAGCCAGCCTAACTTTCAGGAAAACAGATCCCACTGTCCAATCTTTTTTATGCCTGAAACTCTGTTTAATCAGATTAGGGCAGATGGCTTTGAAAAATCAAGGTGAGC